GTGTGTGTGTGTGTGTGTGTGTGTGTGTGTGTGTGTGTGTGTGTGTGTGTATAGAAATAGCCTTTTCCAGTTTTTTTTTCCCAACTGGATTCCTTTTTGTAGCTTGATGACCTGAAGGAGAAAGCCTTGGCTTCAGCTGTCCGCCACAGACTGAAGTGCTCCAGTATGGCGAAATTCGGTGAGAGAGCTTTCAAGGCATGGTATGTAGCTTTATTTTAATACCACAGATTGCATCTTCATAGTAACTGTCTAATCAAATAGTCCTTTGAGTAGACAATTAGACAAGGCACTTCATGAAGTTGATAGAGGTGAAATCAGAATAACAGTAAGAATTTTACATTTGTGCCTCAGTATTTATGTTTTTAAGTATTTCCAAAGAATTTGGAAGACTTTTTTTTTTTTTTTGTCTAAAAGAAGACAGGTATTTAAAATCTTAGTTGTTTATAAAGACTTGGAATGTCATTTTAAAGGCATTTAAAAAATGCAGTCCTTGTTAGAGTAATTAATTTACTTAATTTATTTTTCCTCAGTCTGAAACTGTTTTATGTCCTAATAGTAGAATTCAGCCATCAAGCAAGCTGGAGTTACTACCTCAGAATTTTTTTTTTTTTTTACAATTTCAATTCTGTTAAGAACAGAATTAAGAATTAAGACTCTTGTGTTTTTTGCTCGACCCTTTCTTTGCTTTTATATGCTGTAGTGGAATCTTGAAGCATCCTTTCTTAGGGAAGCCAAGAAAAACACACTTGCATGTTTAGGACCTCACCTGTTAGAGCAGCAAACTGGAGATGACAGATACTGTGTGTGTTCTCTAGAAGCTGTCAGCAGAATTACCCTCACTGAGTCATTCTTACCATCTAAATTATTAAAGCCAATTGAACCAATCAATACAGCAACTCCAACCTGAAACACTACACTGTTACACGATCCACGGTTGGCTCTTTCTTTTTTTAATTTTAATTTTTTATACTAATTACAGTTTATTCACTCTGTAGCCCTCCCTCGTCCCCTCCCAACCTCATCCTCCCTTTCTCATCTCCTCTCATGCCCCTCCCCAAGCCCGCGGATAGGGCAAGTCCTCCTTCCCTTCCATCTGACCCTAGCCTATCAGGTTTCATCAGGACTGGCTGCATCAAAGGAGTCTTTTCATCAGAGCTAGGGAACCGGAAATTATTTTGGAAATGTTGAAAATCTTGGCTTTTTACATCTTGTCATAGAGCTTAGATGCTGTCTGCTGGAACAATTTCTTGGCAGAATGATACATAACTCTCCAATTCTCTAGAATTTAGGAATTATTTTTTCCCCATCATAGACCTTTAGAATTCAGAAAGATACGTCTTAAGACAAACGATGTCAAATCTTCATTTCCAGATGAGAAAATGCTTTCCTGCCATGACATAATTTAATTGTCCAGACCCTTTGATTTAGCGTTTTGGGGTCACACTGCTAAGATGTGATCAAGCCAGAGAGAGAAGTCAGATAAGGAGTCAAAAGTTCAGACTGCTGCACTTTGGGAATTCTCCTATGATTTTAATTTTATGGGGCCTAAGCTTTTCACACAGCACCCTATTGTTTCAGTAGATAATTCTGCCAAAGAAAACATGAGTATCATGTCAGACTAGCATTACAAGAACTAGTGAACTAGTGAAATTTTTTTAAATAATTTTCTTCATTTCAGTTTTGAACTTCCTTGTTATAAATGATGTCTTTTTGTTGCTTTCATACAAATACAGTACTACAGTACGATCATAATTCTTTCATGGGAATTTTTCTCTTTAGGGCAGTAGCTCGAATGAGCCAGACATTCCCCAAAGCTGACTTCGCAGAAATTACCAAACTGGCAACAGACCTTACCAAAGTCACCCAGGAGTGCTGCCATGGTGACCTGCTTGAATGCGCAGATGACAGGGTAAAGCCTCTTCATGCTCGGAGTCAGTTAACCAGGGCTCCATCAGCGAACAGTGAGGCATTCATTTTTCTTTCTTGCAGGCGGAGCTTGCCAAGTACATATGTGAAAACCAGGCGAGCATCTCCAGCAAGCTGCAGGCTTGCTGTGAAAAAGAAGTGTTGCAGAAATCCCAGTGCCTTGCTGAGGCGGAACATGACGACATCCCTGCCGATCTGCCTGCATTAACTGCTGATTTTGTGGAGGATAAGGATGTGTGCAAGAACTATGCTGAGGCCAAAGATGTCTTCCTGGGCATGTGAGTCGATGCTTTTCCCTTCAACGCTCTGAAGGGCGGCATGGTTTAGGAAGCCGCACCAGGCCCTCCTTTGGAATGAGCAGGACGTCAGTGGCTCTCACACGATTTATTGACCCTTACCATTCTCAGCCTTTAAAATTTACCTGAAGGGTGTTTTAAGTAATTTAAAATATTTGTATAAAATCATACATGCGTTCAGCATGAACTCAATGTTTCTTACCTCATAGGAATATTTCTGGAAATCTTTAGAAATGTTCCATGAATAGATAAATTACGTGTATCACTTAATCATGCTTATAAGCACATTTCTCAAATATCTAATGTATATTAATATATTATTTATTATTTAACTCTCTGCTCACCTATCCTCCTATATCTATGCATTTCTATGATGGCAGTAAGTATATATATAAATATATATGCATACACACAATCACATATGTATGTATGTGTATATATATGTATATATATGATATCAAAATGACACTAGTTGCTTCATACTTGGTTGAAAAGACCAGAATGTCACAGTGTGGCAAGACAGGATACAATTAATAACAAATGACTATCTGTTTTCAGTAACTGCAACAATTAATTTTATCCTTTTATTGTTGACTTATGACTGCACCCTATTCACTATACTTAATAGACAATTCACTCATATCTAAAAGAAAAAGAAATATTTAATGTTATATCTCTATTAACACATTTGTTGAGATACTTTGGAGAAATAGTTAAAAAAATCTAGACACGCAGTAAAAATAGCTATGAATCAAACATTTAATGTGTGCTGGTCACTGTGTACTTTGATAGGCTGTGCCATGCATTTATCCCCATCCACCTTGGAAGGGAGATGCTATCATTATTTCCATCCCAGAATGGAGGAAGTTAATGGGCTAATCGTCTTACTAAGTTCCCCATGCAGAACACTAGACTATGTTGCGGTGGCAAAGCAGAACCTGGGAAGAGTTTTTTCTGCGTCCCAAGTTCTTGCTGCTTAGTTTCCTGTATGGAGCTCATGCCAATGCAGGATGCCTGGAATGTCAATCACTACTGAGCTTAGTCACGTGACCCGATTACTTGATCGCTTATTTAACTCAGCCTATGTTCATCTCAATTAGGTTTTTGTATGAATATGCAAGAAGGCACCCTGAATACTCCGTTTCCTTGTTGCTGAGACTTGCTAAGAAATATGAAGCCACACTGGAAAAATGCTGTGCTGAAGCCGACCCTCATGCATGCTATGGCCATGTGGTAGGTTTCCATAAGCCAACAACACCTCGGTACTGCTGGCCCTTCCAAGAAGGACAAAGGAAGCAGTGAACTAATAAGAGTCAATAGATAAGTCAATTCAGACATTTTCTTGAGATGGAGGCAGGTGTGAACTCTTAAAATCTTCAACATGATAGCTTAAATATTTTGGATAAAACATAAGGGAAACTACAATGATTGTTCTAGAAAGGGAAGGTTTGAAGAGAGGAAAGAATCTTTATTTGCATACAATCTCTATTGTAGCTCTCCCTACTTCATATTCTTGAGACTAAACCAGGAGAGTAAATTCAAATGCCAACTTAAAGAGATTTAGTTAGCCTAGAGACCATTCGCCTGATCCCCCAAATTGTCAACTATCAGAAGTACTATCTGTTTTGTGCAGGGTGATAAGTATGGATCTATTTGCATTTTTCTACATGTAGACATCCAGTTAGGCCCACACCATTTGTTGAAGATGCTGTCTTTTTTCCATTGAATGGTTTTGGCAGCTTTGTAAAAAATCAGGTGTCCATAAGTGTGTGGATTTATGTCAGGGTCTTCTATTTGATTCCATTGATCCACCAGTCTATTTCTATGCCAGTACCATGCAGTTTTTAGTATTGCTCTATAGTACAGCTTGAGATCAGGGATGGAGATACCTCCAGAAGATCTTTTACTGTAGAGAATTGTTTTAGCAATTCTGGTTTTTTTTGTTGTTCCAGATGAAGGTGAGAATTTTTCTTTCAAGGTCTGTAAAGAATTGTGTTGGTAATTTGATGGGAATTGCATTGAATCTATAGATTGCTTTTGGTAAGATGGCCATTTTTACTATATTAATCCTGCCAAGCCATGAGCATGGGAGATCTTTCCATCTTCTGATATCTTCATCTAATTCTTTCTTCAGAGACTGGAAATTTTTTTCATACAAGTCTTTGACTTGCTTGGTTAGGTTCACACCAAGGTACTTTATGTCCTTTGTGGCTATCCCAGAAGCAGAAAGATGCACACGGTATATACTCATTCATATAGACATATAATATAGGATAAACCTACTAAAATCTGTACACCTAAAGAAACTAATCAAGAGAGAGGACTCTTGCTAAAATGCTCAATTTCTATCCAGAAAGGCAAAGAGGATGGACATCAGAAGAAGGAGGAAAGAGGGAACAAGTCAGGAGCCTGACACAGAGGACCTCTGAAAGGCTCTGTCCTGCAGATTATCAATGCAGATGCTGAGACTTATGGGCAACCTTTGGGCAGAGTGCAGGGAATCTAATGAAAGAAGTGGGAAACAGTAAGATCTGGAGAGGACAGGAACTCCACAAGGAGAGCAACAGAACCAAAAAATCTGAGCACAGGGGTCTTTCCTGAGACTGATACTCTAACCAAGGACTATGCATGGAGGTAACCTAAGACCCCTGCACAGATGTAGCCCATGGCAGTTCAATATCCAAATGGATTCCATTGTAATAGGAATAGGGACTGTCTTTGACATGAACTGATTGGCCTGCTTTTTAATTACCTCCCCTTTAGGGGGAAGCAGCATTACCAGGCCACAGAAGAAGACAATGCAGCTACTCCTGATGAAACCTAATTGACTAGGGTCAGAAGGAATGAAAAGAAAACCTCCCATATCATTTTACTTGGGGAGGGGCATGCGTGTAGAGGGTGGAGGAAGGGAGGGATTGGGACAGGGGAAGGAGGGAACCACAAGGGGAATACAAAGTGAATAAAGTGTAATTAATAAAGAATTAAAAAAAAGAAGTAGTATCTGGAAGGGGTTTGTAAACTCTAAAAACACTTTGGAATATTTTGGAGAACGTGTTTTATGTGATGTAATTCTTGTGGGTGACATCAGGATGCTTTTGCCAGTGCACACTTGTTTCTGAACTATTTGCAAACAGAAGAGACTCATGCTTTACAAAGAAACTGGTAAACACCAGACACCATTCTGTGGTTGAGGCTGGGCATAGACAGTCTCACCCAGAGACCTCCAAAGCCAACTAGAGAGGTTGCCTAAAATGATGGCCACACTAGATGCGATTTTAATTTCATCCAGTTAGTGGGTTAACAGAACAGTTCTGGTTGTGAGTGAACTGACTGCCACTGTAGAGGGGATTAGCCTGAAGCTTAGACTCGGAAGGAACAGTCATACAACAAGAAAATAAGTCAGGTGACCAGGTTCAGACACAGCCACTGAATTCCAGAGCCTGACAAGTCTTATTGACTTGCACCAAACCACCCTGCGGATAAAAGGAACAATTTAAATGTGATGTGGCCGACTTGGCAAGGAAGGAAGAGAGAAGTGCAAAGTGACCTACTTTCGGCTCTCAGGAAGGGGTCTAGAAACACCATTCTTTTTTATGTTGCAGTTTGATGACTTTAAGCCTCTTGTGGAAGAGCCTCAGAACTTAGTCAAAAGCAACTGCGAACTTTATGAGAAGCTTGGAGAGTATGGGTTCCAAAATGAGTGAGTAGTTTCCAACTGTTTTCCCTTGATCAGTTTGTAATTATTTAAAACACTGTAGAGACCACTTAGCACACAGCTTTAGCAATGAAAGCACATTATTTATAATCCCCGTCTATAAAAAAAAAAATCCAGGAAAGGAGATAACTTACTTGACAGGTCTCTCTCTTTTGAGTTTATCACAATGTTTGATATGTGGAGGTTTGTGATAAAATTTATTTAAAGCAGTACTGAGTGAATTACTGCCATTGGGCTAGAGAAATGTAACTCACTTATAATTTTAGTACAAATCTAATTCTAAGATCATATACTTCAAGGAGTTTGTATGATCACTTAGCTTCTCAGGACAAGGTCTTCCTCCAGTACTGTACTCTCAACCCTAGAAGCAAAGGAACTTTGGTGTGTGTGTGTGTGTGTGTGTGTGTGTGTGTGTGTGTGTGTGTGTAACCCATCAGAGTTGGTTTGGGGTGAATTTTCTCCTTTTGAAATATATTATGTCAGGTCAGTTTTCTGCATGGATTAAAACATGTAAGTTCCATGTATATATATTTTAAAACAGCGTTCTAGTTCGCTACACCAAGAAAGCACCTCAGGTGTCGACTCCGACTCTCGTGGAGGCTGCCAGAAGCCTAGGAAGAGTGGGCACCCATTGCTGTACACTTCCGGAAAAGAAGAGACTGCCCTGTGTAGAGGACTTTGTGAGTCTGTTAACCTACAACAAGACAGTGCTGGGGTTTTGTCTTTACACATCCACAAGTCCAACTCTCAGGAGCAAGGGTGTTAGTACATACGTCCATGTGTATGTGGTAGCTGGGACATGGCCAGCTATATTTAACGAAAAGGGAGACAGCTATTACAGTTATCCTCAGCTTCCCGTGTTTCCTTTCAAAGGAAACATTTCTGTGTTTCAAACATTTCAAAGATACATTTCTGTGCTGATCAGAGCGGGATTCACAAGTGGCTGGTTCACTCTGACCGTTCTCTTGGTGCGTCAGAGAGTGGGTGTTTGTGGAAACTCGTGTGACTAGTCTGCTCCGCTGTCTCTCTGCTTTAGCTGTCTGCGATCCTGAACCGTGTGTGCGTGCTCCACGAGAAGACCCCAGTGAGTGAACAGGTCACCAAGTGCTGTTCTGGATCCCTGGTGGAGCGGCGACCATGCTTCTCTGCCCTGCAAGTTGATGCAACATATGTCCCCAAGGAGTTTAAAGCTGAGACCTTCACCTTCCATGCCAATATCTGCACGCTTCCAGAGAAGGAGAAGCAGATGGAGAAGCAAACGTGAGCAATGCTTTCCTGCTGCAGATATCTGTTTACTTGTTGCATGTGTATTGATCCCGAGAATAGTAGAAAACACTAAACATTAGCTGGAATTCACTAGCTGGTGAATTCGTATAGGTAGAAAAAAATTGGTTATAAAAAAAAAATAGGAGAATTTATTTCAAGGTATGAATAATTAGCTGAAAGTGTTCCGTGAAGAAGCCACCCCAGAGGCGAGACAAAGGCGCAGGTTTGAGTTTTGAGGCTAGACTAGAAGAACAGCTGGAAAGGCACACAGGAGGCCTGATCCCCATGGCTGACAGGTGTGGTTCGAATAGCACGGAATGCTGCTGGAAGTTGTCATCACTTTCAGGTACCTGTGACCGTGGTCCAGTGTGACAAAACTCATTCACCACACGGCTCTTTTTCTCCAGTACTGCCTGTTCTACGACAGAGACCCGGCCGTTTTCTCTTGCTTGGCTGGTCCGTTTTCATAGCCTCCCCATTATTAGTTTTAAATGACGCAAATGCTGCAGAGCAAAAATCCATATATTAAGTGCAGAGACATGAGTCTTTCAGGAGATTTCCTGAAACTATACGTCAGACATTGTGTGACTTGTGCTCATTATTCTATTTGATCCAGTCCTGGCAAAGTGGTATTTATTACCCTCATATACAGTCAAGGATATTAAGGCTGGCAATGGCATGGTTGGTCCTTAAAGCCGAAGTCACTCCTAGATTTGTAACCTTAACCTGTAGCCTCGCCGTCCTTACTATTTTATTTTCCTGAGTGGTGTAAACATTTCCTTCCTGTTGTTGCTTTCTGTCCTAATGCAGGGCACTCGCTGAGCTGGTGAAACACAAGCCCCAGGCTACAGACGAGCAGCTAAAGAAAGTGATGGGCGACTTTGCAGATTTCCTGGAGAAGTGCTGCAAGCAGGAAGACAAGGAAGCATGCTTCTCCACAGAGGTAATAGAGCTTTTTGAATTTTGATATGTTCATCTTCTATTTTTGTGCTCTTGGTCAGGTTTAGTGCTTAGGAAGTCATATATGAACAACGTGATCAAGGAAGATCTCTGTTTGCTACATAATTCTGATCCAAACTGACTTACATAAATCTTAATTTTTACCTCCTACAACACTGTGGCATATTAAATGTTTATAATGGCTACTCAGCTCCAAATTTGTGACATTTATGAGTATAGTTAGAAATAATTGTAAAGCCCAGAAACATTAACTCATTTAAACCTGGTCCTTAAATGTTCCTTTATGAACTGACTTATTTTACTCATGAGTGGAGAATAGTCACATGTCTGAATCATTTCACATTTTTCCCGATGGCCTACTAACAGTTTATCTTATAATTTTGGCCATAACAGATGTAAGTGAGCTTTGCTTTAGGAATTCTAGTAGAACTGTAATTAAGCGATGCAAGACATGTGAATTTACTTTGTTATTGCCAATGACCATTGGACTGTGCAAAGTCTAATAGCCTTGCTAATATTTTTCTAACATCCGTCACTTCTTTGTGTTCAGGGTCCAAAACTTGTTGCCGAAAGCCAAAAGGCCTTTGCCTAAACACATCACAACCACAAGCATCTCAGGTAACTATACTTGTGATCTTAAAAAGTAACCATAGTCATTTAAAAAAAAAAAAAAGGCCAAGATTTGATGATCATTTGCCAAGAGCAACGTAGACTAGCACCAGCCACCACTCTTTGGCTTTCACATATGTTCATCGATTTGGGTCACATTTGCAGATAAGGAAATGAATACATAAAAGTCTAGGTTAATGCAATTTACCCAAAAGGCAGCCAAACAAGGGCAAGAGCGAGCCAAGATCTAAAATTAAAATCATGAGATTCAGTCGTGGCTTTGTTCTTTCATGAACCACCACATGGAACCAGTCATGTTAGCTCAGCCAAGGGGGTCCTCAGAATGAAGCGGAAACCCACTGAAAGACCATTTTTTTTGGGTCAAAACAGTTGTGTATCAATGATTCCATAGAGTTTAACCCAATAATTCTATGAATTCATTTCACTGGAAGACACAATGGAGCTATCTTATGGGGGTTCCAGTTTCATAATAAGTGACCTGCTTCCAAATTTCTGTTGTGTCGCATGCCAAGCTTTAACAGAATTTATCTTCTTATGGCAAAACAGCCTCCTTTGAAAATACTTATTGAACACAACTATGTTGATCAATTTATTTTTTGTAACATATTGGGAGAGAATTTTAGAAATAGGGTAACAATGGAAAAAGGTAGTAAAAGAAAATTGTTTCTCCAGTATGGAAACACATACTTATTTTGGATTCAAGCAAAGAACCTACAGATATAGAGATGTTTTAAAACTTACTTCAGTTTTAGAAGGAAAAGAAAATTCTGTAGCATCCTGAGAAGATAGCTTTCATTTGAAATAAACTAGGTAATAAGTAGGATAAGTAGGCCTGGTGGAATGGCTGGACCTCTGCCTGTGAAACCTGAATGCTCCGGTGGGACCGGTGATAACGAGGGAGTGTCACAGTGCACATGAGTATGTTCTCTGCCCACCGAGCAAGGGGGCTGAATTTAGTCTAGAGCATGCTTAGCCTGTCTACTGCTGAAAATTTCAAAACTGAGCTAAGGAATTAAACATTTCTAAGAGACAGATTTGGAAAACATTCCATTTTACAAAGAGCACTTACATGTCTCTTTTTGATTTTTCAGTCTACCCTTGGAAAACAAGAGACATGAAGACTCAAGACTCATCTTTTCTGTTGGTGTAAAATCAACACCCCAAGGAACACAAATTTCTTCAAACATTTGACTTCTTCCCTCTGTACTTTAATTAATAAAGAATGAAAAGAATCTACTCTGTGGTCTAGAACTATGTTTTTTGAAGGCACACTTTACCCTCACAGCCTCCTAGGCTCTGGGAAACCATCAGCTTTCTCCCTTCCTTCACTTCAGCAGATGAGAAGAAATGTTGAAACTCTCCCAAGTTACAGGCAGTGAGCATATGAACCAATATTTCAACATTATATTTTTCTGAATAAGAGACTAAAAGCTTATGAACCACGACTTTCCTTTGTTGGTGGGACTCTAAGAAGGAGTTGGGGGACAAAGGAGATAGGAATGGCTTTAAAGGTGACTAGCTTAATGATAAAGTGGGTGATCTGAAAAAAAATTGATACTGTTCAGGATGATGCCATAAAGCCTTGAGAAGCCACGTTGGAAGTGGAAATTGGGTGATGTGGATAGATGCTGAAGCACACTGGATTGATGAAGCACAAGAGTTGCATGACAAAAGGGTCATGTTAAAAGTTCAGGTGTTACATTCAGGGCTAGGTTGTTTTCTCCATTCCAGGAATCAGTTGCTCATATATGCTTTGATCTATGAATTTTATAGACTTATCCAAGCATTGTCTGGAATTTATATACACAGTCATTTATGGCCATATGAAGTCTTTATTATTATATTCTTGGTTTCAAATTGTGTGTATTATTCTACAGCTGGCTGTTAGTAATCTTTTATGGTTTCATTTTAAGCACTGTACTTCAAAAGATTATGATACCACACGTAAAGAAAGGTTCTTTTCAATCCTCTTATAGTTCACACTTTCCTTTTCCTCAACCTGTGCTTCGGCCTCCTGGTGAAAGTATCAGTGGTAGAAGAAAGACCGGAAGGGTAGAATGGAGATTGGGCCCTGACCTGATGAGACAGGAAGTTTAGCCAGACAATTTGAGTAAGGTGTTGCTATAAATCTGGGCCAATAAGGGGCCTCGCCTAGATGAGTTATCTGGAGGGCACTGTCTCAGTAATCACTCCTACCTACCAAAGAGGAGCTTAAAACATGGAGAGGATTATGCCACACAATGCACTATTTCCTTAGCCACCTCCTTGCCTGCTTCCCATAGAGTCAACACTTGGAACTGAAGAGTCCAGTCAGTTCTGGTTTTGAGAGGGCATCGTTGGTAGTGCCCCCTGTCTGGCTTTCATCATCTGTCTGTCATCTAGCTGTCTTTGTATTTTGCCTCATGATCCAGAAGTCTGAGATACTAGAACATTGCAGGCTTTGTGGTCTGGTGGTGGTTGTGGTGGTAGTGATGTGTGTGTGTGTGTGTGTGTGTGTGTGTCTGTTAAAGCTGGCCTCATAGCCCACTGGGAACATGATACACTGTCAACAAGATTTAATATGGGATATTAGATTGATTACTTATTTTTTAAAAAACAGTGTTTGCCACTTTTCTTTCATTGTGATGCTATTACTTTTCTCCATGCATAGGCTTTTTGAGGGAAAGAAACCATTAAATACAGCATGCAAGGTATTAAGCTTCAAATCACATCAGAACTGATGTGGCCTCTTCCTCAGTGGCCTGGCAAGGCAGCTCCACCAGGGGGGAGTGATTGAAAAGCATGCAACACAGCCCTTGTTAGAGACAGCCTCCACTCCCCTTACTAGGAAAACTTACATAAAGACGAAGCTGTCCCTAGGCTACATATGTGCACGGGGCCTAGGTCTGGTGCATGCAGGTCCTTGGTGTAACTCTCCTTTTGATAGTGAGTACTTGTCTCCCACTATCTGCCCTGAGTTTATATATATCTGTTCAAGCCCAGGGTACATGTTAAGGAGCCCCAGAATTATTGGCTCAAACTCCCATAAGAACAACAGCACAGGCTGTAAGAGCAACAATCAATAAATGGGACCTCATGAAATTGAAAAGCTTCTGTAAAGCAAAGGACACCGTCATCAAAACAAAGCGACTGCCTACAGATTGGGAAAGAATCATCACCAACCCTCTATCTGACAGAGGACTCATATCCAATATATATAAAGAACTAAACAAGCTGAAAAGCAACAAACCAAGTAATCCACTTAAAAAAATGGGGAACAGAGCTAAAGAGAGAATTCTCTGCAGAGGAATATCGAATGGCAGAGAAGCACTTAAAGAAATGCTCAACCTCATTAGCCATTAGGGAAATGCAAATCAAAACAACCCTGAGATTTCACCTTACACCCATCAGAATGGCCAAGATGAAAATCTCAAGGGACAACACATGCTGGAGAGGTTGTGGAGAAAGGGGAACCCTTCTCCACTGCTGGTGGGAATGTAAACTGGTACAACCACTCTGGAAATCAATCTGGCGCTTTCTCAGACAACTAGGAATAGCGCTTCCTCAAGATCCAGCCATACCACTCCTAGGCATATACCCAAAAGAGGCGCAAGTACACAACAAGGACATTTGTTCAACCATGTTTGTAGCAGCTTTATTTGTAATAGCCAGAAGCTGGAAACAACCCAGATGCCCCTCAACTGAAGAATGGATGCAGAAACTGTGGTACATCTATACAATGGAGTATTACTCAGCAATGAAAAATAAGGAAATCATGAAATTTGCAGGTAAATGGTGGGACCTGGAAAAGATCATCCTGAGTGAGTTGACCCAGAAGCAAAAAGACACTCACGGTATATACTCACTCATATAAACATACAATATGGAATAAACCCACTAAAAGCTGTACATCTAAACAAACTAAGCAAAAGAGAGGACCCTAACTAAAATGCTCAATCCCCATCCTGAAAGGCAAAGAGGATGGACATCAGAAGAAAACGAAAATAGGAAACAACCTCGGAACCCGCTACAGAGGGCCTCTGAAAGCCAGAAGAAAACAGGAAACAACCTTGAAACCTGCCACAGAGGGCCTCTGAAAGCTTCTGCAGTATAGACTGTCAAAGCAGATGCTGAGCCTGATGGCCAACTGATGGGCAGAGTGAATGGAATTCTATGTAAGAAGTGGGAAATAGTAAGAGCTGGAGGGAACGGGAACTCCACAAGCAGAGCAACAGAACAAGATAATTTGAACACAGGGAAATTCCCAGAGACTCATACTCCAACCAAGGACTATTTGTGGAGATGACCTGGAACCCCTGCACAGGTGTAGCCCATGGCAGTTCAGTGTCCAAGTGGGTTCCATAGTAATGGGAAGAGGGACTGCCTCTGACATAATCTGATTGGCCTGCTCGTTGATCACTTCCCCCTGAGGGGGGAGCAGCCTTACCAGGCCACAGTAGAGGACAATGCAGCCACTTTTGATGAGAACTGATAGACTAAGATCAGAAAGAAGGAGAGGAGGACCTCCCCTATCAGTGGACTTGGGGAGTGGCATGCATGCAGAAAGGGGAGGGAGGGTGGGATCGGCAGGGGAGGAGGGAGGGGCTCATGGGGGGATACAAAATGAATAAAGTGTAATTAATAAAAAAAA